CCGTGTGCCCCCAAGTGAGAAAAAGCTCGGCGTCCTTCCTGCAAAGAGTTCTAGGAAACTTCTCAGCTGATGAACGACAGCTGGGGGGGGTGGGGGTCAGTGAGTGAGCGCGGGGGCGGGAGGGCTCTGGCCCGGGCCCCAGGGCTAAATGCCTTGGAGACGACCCCCTCCTCGCTCCTTCCGGCGCTGATTTGTGAGCCCGTCCGCCCATGTCCCCTCACCTCTGAGCCTTCCCCGCCCACACCGGGGGGCCTGAGAGCAGCAGGGAGCGGGCAGCGGGGCTGTCACTCACCGCTATACGCGTCCTCGGCCTCGCGGGCCTCTTCCGTGCTCAGGGTCTGGATGATCTGGCCTGGGGTGGGGGGGGCAAGAGCAACTCAGTGCCCCGAAGGGGACCCGTGGGGCCTGGCTGCACCTGCTCTGCGTCTCTCCTCATGCACCGCCATCCCCTCCCTCTGTCTGTCTGTCCCTCCCACAATTGTCCTTCTCGGCCACCAGCCCCAGATCTAGACTTTTCCGTGAAGTCGAGATGACTTCCCTGCTTCTCTGAAGGGTCCCAAGCAAACTGGGCTGAGGAGGGGGAGAGACGGGGATGCCTCTGCCCAGAGGATGTTTCCCTGGGGTGACTGAGGCCGAACCCACCAGGCTCTGAGCCTCCTCACCGAGCCTCCCAGGGCTCAGTTCATTCCGCTGCGGCAAGGCCGCCCAGCCCAGCCCAGCCGGGAGCTTCCAGGGCGGGGAGTTGAGGGCGCTGGCTTGGGGGCTGGGGGACAAGTGCACACGGTCCTCCGCCCTCCGACGTCGTCACCCCAGGCCCTGTCTGCCTGCTGTCCCGGCCCCTCCGGCTCTCCGGAGGACCCGTGCTAGGACACGGCGGCTCCCAGAAGGGGGAAGGCAGTACCTGCAAACCACACGGCCACCTGGCGGATGGGGGCCTGTGGGCTCTTGAAGAGGGTCACGCTCTGCCTCAGGAACCAGAGGGCTCTGCTTGCCTCCTGCTGCAGCTGCACAAGGACGAGCCGGGTGGGCCAGGCGCCACAGCTGGTTCCTCTGTCCCCGCCACCGGCCTCCTCCAGACAGTCCGGGGACTAAGCTGGAGTCACTCGCTCAGTGCAAAGTCCGTCCAAACGCTCTAACCCGCACCCTCCCTCCCAGCCCCGGAGGTTTCAGCTCCTCTAGGGGGCCTTCCTGGGTGGGACCTTTCTCTCCAGGGAAGGCCTGAAACGCAGAGAGATTCACCCCGATCTCTGGCTCACACACTTCCCCCTCCTGTCCCGTTGTGTCCATTTGCTTATTTCCATCTCGGCTTAGAAGTGGCGATCTCAGGGCCATCTGCTTCGGGCTACAGGAGTCCAGCATGTCTACGCCGCCCTGTTCAGCAGCCACATGGCGCCACGCACCGTTAAGCATTTTGAGCCCTCCCTTCCCTGCCAGGGATGCAGCCTCTGGGGTTCGTCCTGGGTCCTCCCGTGAAGGTCCGGAGGATGGCGGGTCCTTTCCTCTGCAAAGGCCACCCCCACCCCCGTCTCCCGCGCTTCCGTCCCAGCTGCACCCTGTTCTCCTCTTCACTCTGCACTGAGGTTCTTAAACTTCAAGGCTACATCGATGGCTTTTCAAACTGTCGTGGCAGAAGAATCTTTTCTTCAAATAAAATCCGAACTGGAAACCCAGCTTCCCAAACCCACAGAAGCGGGGCCGCTGAAGGCGTGGTGAGGCTGAGCCCAGCCAGCTGCGCACAGCCCATCCTGTGAAGTCACCCCAGAACCTTGGCTTCCACACCGGTCTCCTCCCTGCACCCCCGCTGGCCCTGGTCCCGCGAAGCTCACGGCGTCTCCCGTGGCCCGAGCCCAGCAGGCCCTGCTGCTTCCCTTCCTGGACTCCTGCTACCACCGCTCACTGTCCGCCGCTTGTTGCTCCTTGAAGCTGTCTCCTCTTTGGCGACCACGACCCTCCTCTCCTGCTGTTCCTCTTCTACTTCTTTGCCTGATTTTCCTTCCTAGGCTCCTGGGTGGGCACCTTGGAACTGAGGCTTCTCGGAATCCCAGTGCTGAGTCACGTGTTCCTTCGCTGTGTGAGCTCCGAGGTGGGCTAATCCAGGCTCGTCTACCATTCCATCCACCTGCCGAGAGCTCGCTCCCATCCACCGCCCAGCCTGCTCCCCCTGCGTCAGTGACAGGTCTCTGACTTCCCGTGGGGCAGACCCACAAACTGTCCTGGCCCGCCGTGTACAAAGTCGAGCCACTTGCTTCCCCCCACACCTGATTCCTCCTCCTGCTGCAACACTGGCACTCCTGTGTCAGAAACCCAGGCGTCCACCTTCCCAGCACACTCTGCATCAAATCAGGCTTCGGGACCAGCCAATCCCCCCGTGTCCCCACCACCTCTCCCTGGCCCCCAAGCACGGGTCTCAGCCCTGCCCCTTGAGAGCTCACCCTCCCGTCTGTAGCCAGGTGATCTGTCTAAAGTGTGCCGCCATCTAACCGCGTGCCCCTCTTGCTCAGAGCACTTCAGCAGCTCCCCGTTTGCTACAGCATCAAATCATGCTCCTTCCTGTGTCCAAACCTCCACCACACAGTGCGACCCAGCCTCCTACTTCCTGCTAAGTGCTCCTGGGCCAGGATGGCACACAGGCAGCCATGAGCCCAAAGCAGCCTGCAGGTTCTACTCGTTTGCTCCACACAATGTTTTAAACATTCTAAACCACTTGTCGATAGAAACGTGGGAAATCTCACCAAATAGGATTTCCTGCTTTCCTAACACAGGGGCACACCTAGCAGCCCTGAGCCCGCTGGTTCTCCGCCGGGGGCTCTACTGTCCCCGGGGGAACGAGGGAGCTGGGGGCGGCTTTGGCTGTCGCGATGATGTCGGACGGCACACCAGTGTCTAGGGTCCCACCGCACACCTGTGTCAGCCAAGCCGTAGCTCGAATGGTCTGTGCCCAGAGCGTGGCTCTGTCCTTTGTAGAAACACAGCACTTCTCCACAGTTTGAATACACACCGGGTTTTCTAATCGTCTGCTGCGATGTGAATCAAAACCAGACTGAACTTCACTCTGTTCAGAATTTCACCAAAACCCGGCCGTCACTCTGGAGGCCACATTACCAGCGGCCAAACTTCTTGAGTCACGCTTTGGTCCCCGACACACGAGTCCTATACCTGCATTTGCAGCAGGTTCCCTTGAGGTAGAGCAGCCCCACGTCCCGTCTTTCGGGGGCCCTGGCCCAGGACGGCCACGTCCTGTCGAGTCGCCACATAGCGTTGTGCTGCGTCGCACACGCGCCACACACACACGTCTGCACACGCGCGTCACACACAGGGTCCCAGCACACAGCGCTTCCCCGTTTGGAGCTAGGGGCTTGACATTTACTTGTTTTGGAAGTCCGTGCGGGCGGCTGACGCTACCTGCACGTTTCGTTTTGGGAGAGGAAGCGGGTGCTACCACACCCGTGATCTGATGGGGCCGGGCCGTGTCCAGTGGTGCCGAGAAGCGTGGCTGCAGCTGGACCACGCCCTCGGACCCAGCCGGCCTGCTTCTCTGCTTACTGCCCCTGCCTGGCCCACAGGCACGAGTTCGCTGCCCCTGCGCTGACTCCCAGCCCCTGGTAGCTCCCACACCCCGAGCTCCTCTGCCCTTATTTCTCAGGACCTAATTCTGTAGGATGAGATGCGGGCGGGCCAGGTCCCTGGGACGGAGGGGATGCTCCACTCCACACCCCGTGTAGGGCCGCACCTCGCCCGCACTCCGATCCCTCCCCTTTGCCTGAGCGTTACCTCTCCTTCCATTCCCTGACCCCCACCGGGGACGCCACCTTGAGGAAGCCTTCCTGCAGCTTCCAGACCGGGCTACAAAGTCCCTTCCTCTCTCAGCCTTTACAGAGTTTCCAAAATGATCTCCCTGTGTGCCTAGCTCCCCAGCTCACACAGGAAGCAATGGGCAGGGGAAGGCGGGGCAGGGACCACACACAGGTGCTGGGCACAGACAGCCCACGCAGGGAGCATCTCACTGTTGCAGTGCTGTGGCTGCAAATCCCAGAAGCCGCAGGAAAGCAACCCCGGAAGTGCGTCCCCCGACTCCCGGCACAGGAGCGGGACAACGAGCGAGCGGCAGCTTACCAGCGCTCTGAGGATCGTCCAAACGTCCTTCTCGGCAAAGATCACTCTGAGCTTCCACCAGCCCAGTATGGTGGCCGTGTGGCAGAGGGCGGGCCGGGAGATCTAGAGAGACAGGAAGGCTCAGACCAGTTAGAGGGCAGGGTGGGGAAGGGACCTGGCGGGGCACACAGAGAGGAGAGAGGGCGGTGAGGGACGGGAGACTCAGAGCCCGGAGGGACCAGGGCAGGAGAAAGGCCGAGCAGTCAGGCACCTTGGCTGCACCTGCACCCTTTCTCCCAGGAGCGAGACGGTTAAAAATCAGGGTGGTGGTGATTTTCCCAGCTGCATGTTACTGCCCTGAGACCCACCTCCTGGCTTACCCACCCACCCCACGGCTCCCCAGTCCCCAAAGTCTTGATGCTGCCACTGGGCGGTCGCCCCTCTGATCAGGGTTGGCCCGTCAGAAGTGTCACTGCCGAGTTCCCTGGGAGGGAGCCCACCCACAAAGATAACACCCCAGTTCACTTGCTGGTTCAGAAACCCCACCAGGCAAAGAAGCCTGCGGTGTGGACACTGGTGCCCCGGGCACGCCGTCGGCACTGTTCAGCTGCAACTTTTCTCCGCTGCAGCTCAGGCCCCTGGGCTCCCGGGCTCAGAGTCGGGCCCGTCCGTCCCAGGACGTGGCCAGTTCTGGGCCCTCTCTGTTCCACCCGCTGCGCTGCCCCGGGAGCCTGTCTCCGTTCAGTGACAAGGGGGTAGTGAGAGGTTTGGGGAGAAGGCCGGTGACGCCCAGATCAGGGACCCAGGGAGGGGAAAAGGCTTCACACCCGCAGCTGCCCGCTGTGTGCCGGCGGCCGGCCGGGGAGCCGGGGGCTGGAGAAGCCCCAGGCAGGCATCTGACTGCAGCTCTCCAAGGTTAGACAGGAGACTCCCCCGCCCCTTCCTAAGGGCTGGCTTGACCCCGTTCGCATTTCCCCACCCCGTGAGCGCTCCAGGCCTGGCCTCTCACCTGAGCCACGGGGACGCTCACATCCTCCAGGTGGAGCACGAGGAGGACCAGCAAGCTGAGGACCTGGTGCTTCAAGGGGAAGACAAGGACTCTCCGGCGGACCTTGGCCAGGACAGCCCCGTAGACCTCGAAGGCCTCCAAGCGCAGGTGTTCTGACTCCTGGGTGAGAACGCACACGCACACGCACACGCACACACGTGTGGGAGGGAGCTCAGCCTGAGCACCCGCCTCCGGGACAGGTGACCCCAAGCCCCCCTCCACTGAGCGCAGGCCCCGTGCACACCCGCCCCCCATGTGCTCCAGCTCCACAGCACTCTCCTGCTGCGTTCTGCTCTCTGTCCAGACCCCTTTCACTATCCCCGAGCTGGGGACACGGCCACCAGCCCCACAGGAGGCCCCAGGTCCCAGCTGGAGGGGCCTTCGAGATCCTTCCAGCAACTTCCTTACCTTACGGATGCCAGAGAAGGGAAACGGGCCCTCAGAGGACTCACCTCCTCCAGGAAGGGCCCGAGCGTGAAGGCGAGCTGGATCAGGAAGGAGGAGGAGTCCTGCCAGGTGAGGTGCTCCACCAGGTACCTGAGCACCTGGAAGGTCTCGGCCACGACGCCGCCGTCCGCAGAGTAGCAGCAGTTCAGCACATAGGGCTGCAGGGCGCGGAGCTGCTTCCCCTGTAGAGCACGGGTGCTCGGGAGGACAGCCCGAGTCCAGGAGCCAGCCTCGCCCATGCCACCCCACGCGACAGCCGGGCTGCCACACTGAGCCCCGTCTCCCCCAGAACCCGGGCGGCGTCGGGGGCGGGGGTGCTGGTGGAGGGCGCCGCCCCAAGGGTGTTGGGCAGCACTCCTGTCTTCATGGGAAAAGGGAAAAGAGAGGACACCCTCCTTCCCCCACCGTGGCCCCATCTCCACTGCCTCTTCATCCCTGGTGACGATGCCCGTCCCCAGGAGACCGGGCAGGTCAGAGCCCCAGCCTCTGACTTGGCCCATGAAATGACGCCGAGAAAACCTCCTCCATCCTCGCCGGGAGGGATAGACCAACGGCTCACATCCTGGCCCCACTCCCCGTGGACTGGCTCCGTGAGGATTCCCTGTGTGACCCCGAGGGTGGTCCACCCCGTCCACAACCGGACACTCTGGGCCTCCAGCTCTCTCTAGTCCATCCCCGGCGAGAGCGCGCCCTGGACCCCGCCCGGCTCACCATGTTCCCGTGCTTCACGAAGACCTCCACCGCCTGCAGCAGCAGCTTCACTGCGGCCGGCTCCTCGCACTGGAGCCAGCTCGCCAGGATGCGGAGCGTGACCTTGTCCACCATGGCCGCCACGTCCGGGCACTGTAGGAGCTGCGCGAGGAGACGGAGGCAGAAGGGACAATGAGCAGGGGAACCCCAGTGACTCGGCACTGAGGCTCCTGCTCCACAGCAAAGAAATGCTCTCAAGTATCATCAGAAAGTCTGCAGATAACAAACGCTGGAGAGGACGTGGAGAGGAGGGGACCCTCCTGCACTGGAGGTGGGAATGCGAGTGGGTGCCACTGCTACAGAGAACAGTAACTAAAACTAGAGTTACCAAATGACCCAGAAATCCCACTCCTGGGCATATATCCAGAAAAATCCAGAGACACTAAGTCAGAAAGACACCTGCACCCCAGTGCTCATAGCAGCACTATTTACAGCAGCCAAGACATGGAAGCAGACTAAGTGTCCATCAGAGATGGCGGGATAAGGAAGCTGTGGCGTATCTACACAGTGCAATAGCACTCAGCCACAAAAAGGAATGAAATAATGCCGCCTGCAGCTCCGTGGGTGGACTTGGAGGGCATCATGCAAGTGAAATGAGTCACTCAAAGGAAAACAAACACTGTACGATGTCACTTCTACATGGGATCTAAGAGATGCAACTAACTGGTGAAGGCAACCCAAAGAGGCGGACTCACAGACACAGAGAGCAAACCAGTGGTGCCCAGTGGGGAGGGTGGGGGCAGCCAGGGGTTGGGGACTGGGAGGTGCAGACTGCTGGGCGCAAAGCCAGCGGATGTGTGTAAAACACAGGGATACAGCCAATGTCTTGTCATAACTGTAAACAGAAAGCAACCTTTGAATGTGTGAACATAAACACGTCTTTTAAAGAAAAGAAATGCTCTTAAGGGTTTGCAAGAGCAACTAAAGGGGCCAAAGCTTAGTTGAAGGGTCAGTTCACACTCTGTCATCCCAGAAGTCACCATCCTCTCTGCAAGCTTCCCTTCGGCTCCTTTGATAAGGGGTCTGCAGGGGACAGAGGTAGGAAGCGCCCGATGGGGACACACAGGCGGCTGACGCAGGTGGGGGCCCGGCACCGATGCGGTGGGAGGGAGACACAAAAACGGGGACGAAGAAAAGGGCAAACCTGGTATTACTTGTCTATTTATGTAAAATTGCATGCGTCTGCATGTTATTTGCAATAAAACTGAAGAAGGAAAAAGCAAATCAGAGACATTCAAGCCACGCGTGCTGCTCTGTGTGCATGCGTGTGCGGCGTCTGTCCGAGCGTGGCGCTGGCCGCTGGGACGTTTCCGTGGACGGCTCGGCCATCTCCACCGTCTGCCGGGCGGCCAGGCAGACCCACCTGCAGGGCTTACTAGCCACCTCTTTGAGCCTCAGCTCCATCCTCTGCAAAACAGAGGGAAGAGCACCCTTTTCCCACAGGATCACAGTGAGAATTAAATAACTGCTCTCTGCTCCCTGGGAGCCCTGAGCAAAGGCCCACGGCCCGGGCGGTGCTAAACGTCTCCGCCGCGCTCACATATCACGGGACGGGCGAGAACCGCAAACGGCAGGTGCCGGCGCCGGGAAGAGCTGGGTTTTCACAGCCGTCCTCGCTCCTTCAGGGAGCTCCATCCACTCTCCCAGCTGGCACCCAAAGCCCCTCTGGTTTTCTTCTTTAATGTGTGTGTGGGGAGGGGTAACTAGGTTTATGTATTAATTTATTTTCGGAGGGGGCACTGGGGATTGAACCAGAACTTTGTGTTTGCTAAGCACGCTCTCTACCACTGAGCTCTACCCTCCCCACTGGTTTTTCACTTTAATATCAACCAAGTCTCCCTTTAATGCTGACAGTGAGGTTCATCCAGCCCCTTCTCCCCAGTAGGCCAAGCCTCCCTTCCCCCTTCTCAGCCCCAAAGTCCACAAAGGGTGGCAGATGAGTGAAGACCGGTTCCCGTGCCCACTGGTTTCCATGGATGGGATGCATTTGCGAGAACTTCCAGAGGACTTCCCAATCCAATTTCTAGAAGACAGCTTTAAACCAGGGAACTTCTAAATCAGACTAATGCCTGGACTCCACCCCAGACCTGCCCACATAGAGCCTGTACGGGGGGAGCGGGCAGAGGGGCCTCGGAACGGTCTGGCACTAGCGTTTTTAAATCTGGAGGCTTCTGTGGCCTCCATCGTGGTGGTTCCCCTGCCCACCAGGCGTGTGCCTTGTGCTGTTTCTCAAAGCTGGGTCCAAGGACGACCTGTCCTGCACAACCACGGGAGTATTTCCAGAAAGTAAGGACTCTGCGCCTCCCCCAAGGCTGCTGCGTCCAAGGCCCTGGGGCCCGGAAATCTGCATTTAAGCAGCTTCGCCAGAGAAATGCGGCGCACTGAGGCTGGACAGCCACTTCCAGTCAGGGTTCCGGCCCCGCGTGCCCACGCCCCCATCCTTAGCAGGGGCTCTGCCCACACAGCACAAGCCCTTGCGTGCACGCAGCAGAGCCTCACATTGACCTGCACACATCAGCTGTTAGCTCCCGGCGGGGACGCCTTCAGACAGGACCGACGCCCTGTGACCTGCACACAACGCACTGTGCCGCACGAGGGTAGCGTCGTTCATAGTCTAAGATTTGTGCTGTATTATTTTCTATCTCTGTTATTTCAAAAGTAATCCACGCCTGCAAAAGAAAAAATCAGGTGGCTTGAACTTTTAAAAGAGGCTATTTAAAGCTGTGGGGAGTCAGGAACCCAGAAACTCCCTTTGAACACGGCCAGCGGAAGCATAAATCGGGAGAACTTTACTGGAAAGCTATTTGGCATTTGCATCAAAAGTCATAGGAGACATTCATGTTTTTCAATCAGCTCTTCCTCTGATTATATTTGATGTTTAAGGAAATAAGCTGGAATGTGGGCAAAGCCTCTCACATGGAGGCGTTCATTAGTGTTATTCACAATAGTGTAAAACTGGAAACAGAATGTCCAATAAATTATCAGACCTCTTTGTGATAAAATACCACATCTCCTTTAAAACTGATGTTTACAAAACCCCCACGTAAATACACAGGTGGCGCTTACGCAGCACAGGCTGCCGAGCGGTGACAGCATGGCGCCAGCCGGGGGCACACACACCCCTCTCCACTGAGGCCAGGGCCTAAAACTGGTTTCCTCCGGGCATTGCGATTATTCACAGTTTTGTAATTAAGATTCTTGTCCATGTTTTCTAAACTTTCTACACCTTTTCTCTGCCAGGTGTCCGAAACACCTTGAGCCAGTCAGTGGGGCTGAGCGGAGAGTGACTTTAATGGCCGAGGGGCAGCCGGCAGGACAGAGCGAGGTTCCGGGAGGAGTCCCACCAGGGAAACTCCAGGTGGCTCACCTGGCGTCCTAGGCAAGGCCCCCGGGCCGCCCCCACCTGCCCACCCCCTCCCCCAGAGCCGCTCACCTCGGTCATGAACGTGAGCGCCGTCAGGTGATTCTCGTGGTCCAGGTCCTGGAGGATCCCAACTACAAGGCCGAAGACGGGGCGGCTGTGCCAGCAGTTCTTGGTGACCATGGCCCTGTGGCAGCGGGAGTGCAGCGATCAGGCCTGGGCCGTGCGCGGGGGGCCCTGGGAGGCGGGCTCCAGCCGGGTGCATCGCAGGCTCACCTGGCCAGCAGGGCCACCCCCTCAAGGTGTCTCTCCGGGCTGGTGAGCAGCTCCCAGCCCCCCAGCTTCTCAACGTAAGACACATGGTCACCATAGCCTGCGCTTGTCATCAAGGTTCTCAGGGCCTCCACGGTGCAGCTGGGGGCAGAAGCAGGGTCATCTTCTCCCTCAGCTGCAGCTGTGCGGCCACCCCTCTCCATCACAGCCCTCAGGGACCCGGCTGCGTTGTACAGACGGGGTGCCCAGGGCAGCAGTGATGCAGGGAGCTGCGGAAGGCTGGGGACAGGATCCCGGTCTGCAGGCTCAGGTGCGTGGGTCCACCCACTGCCCCGACTTCACGTCGGTACAGAGTCCCTGCATCAGCCCCGACAGAGTCTTTTCTAAAAAGTCCAGCAAGGCCTGTCAGACAGTGCATGGGGGACACCCCGGGGCCCCAGCAGAGGTGAGAGGGGCCCGGTCAGGCGGTGGCAAGGGGACGACAGACATGGGCCCTAAGCCATGGCCTGGAGCCAAGGGTACCTGACAGGGTCCGTCCAGTCGGCCAGGTGCTGCTGGCCCCAGAAGGCCTCCGCGGCCCCTGCCCCCAGGAGGGAGGAGGCCTGCAGCAGCAGGGCCACGAACAGCGGGGAGAAGAAGGCGTGCGCCTCCACCCTCTGGCTGGGCTCCAGCAGCAGCTCACGGAGGGCCCTGGTGGCCTGGGGTGGGAGGAAAGGGCGCCACTATCACCTTTATCTTCAGCTCTTGGGTCCCGACCCCAGGATATCTCTGCCCACAACCGACCCCCGTGACAAGCTGGCCCAGAGAACTAAGCTGCCGAGCGAGGAGAGACTGAGGCTGAGCGACCGGGAAAGCAGAGGGCAGAGCCTGCAGTGTCAGCCTTCAGAGTGCTCGTCTCACTGGGTGGTCGCCCCCTCTGCCCTCCTTGAGAGGCCAGGACGGGCTGGGGGCGTCGGCCCCACCCAACCCCCCTCCGCCCCAGGAGAAGGAGAAGCCAGTTCTGTTCCCCTCCGAGGCAGAGTCGGGAAGCCCTCCCACCCGAGACTCCACCGTGCGGACGTTCACCCTCCACCGCAGAGAGCTCAGGACAGCCGCGCCCGGGCCCCGGGGCCCCCCGCCTGCCCCCCCCCCCGCCGCCAGCCTGCGTACAATCAGAGGGGAGATCTCCACTCCATTGCCAGGCTGCTGGGCCCAGGACCCCCGGCGCGCAGTCAACCTCTGCAGGAGATGCTCCATGATCACTTCGTGGCCTTTGGGGAATGATGCCAGGATTTCCCAGGGCTTGTGAGCCCCCCTGCAGAGCAGAAGCCCCCCCCCCACAGTCACCCTCAGGGAAGAGCCCCAGGCCCCTTTGCCCAGGGGTCCCAGCATCCTCTCCCCCTTCC